CTTCATATTTGGTGAAGCTGTCCACCCATTAAACAACATTGGGACACAATCTCTAACTTATATAATGACATACCTCACAAAGTACAGTAATAACCCACATAAAGTTGTACCATCTTTGATTCTGGTTACAGTGAAATCAGGGAAACATTCTGTGTTGAGACTTTCCTTAATAGCTGCTAGACTAGTCATTGTGCAGCACTGGAAGTCACAGGTTGTCACCACTTTGGTGGAGTGGGTCGAGGTCCTGAGCAAACTCATACAAATGGAACACATGACTGCACAGGATAATGATTAATCTGAGTTTAAAAAAGGTGAATGTGTGTCTTCATCAATACACCTAAATCTAAACAATATTTTACATGAGACATCTCCTTTCATGATTTCATTGTTTATCTGAACAGGCTGCTGAGACAGAAGAGGTCAACTCATGTCTTCATAGGATCCCAATCCCCCCTTTCTTCGTCCTTCTCTCTCTTTCTCTTTTTCCTTTCTTTTTCTCCTATTATTTTTTTGCCTTATTCTTCCCATTAAAGAGGTAAGTGATATGACATGTCTCATTTTTGAGTTGTTTATTTTGCTTTTTTGTTATTTATAATAATAATAAAAAAAACGTTATTTTATATAGTGCCTCAAGTTAGCTTCTCAAAGTGCTTTACAAACAATATACAAGAAATACACAGTATAAAACAAGGGATATTTGTGCTAATACTCATGTTTGCCTTTTCAAAATGTATAGAAGAATATTTATGTTGGAATTTACATGTCAAGTATTATGACCATTGTTCATATTTGTACCCCACCTCTCTCCATAAATACTGATTTGAATATCAGAAAATGAAGTTACACTCAAATACTTAAAAACTGTCCCTCCCCAAAAAATTTTTGCCCGCCTCCACATTGCGCACACACAAATGTACACTCACCAGCCACTTTATAGGTACACGTTGCTAATGCCAAGAAAATCTCCCCCACACCATTACACCACCAACCTGAACCGCTGATACAAGGCAGGATGGATCCATGCTTTCATGTTGTTTATGCCAAATTCCCACCCTACCATCTGAATGTCGCAGCAACCAGTCTGCCTATTCTCCTCTGACATCAACAAAGCATTTTCGTCCACACAACTGCCGGTCACTGAATATTTTCTCTTTTTCAGACCATTCTCTGTAAACCCTAGAGATGGTTGTGCATGAAAATCCCAGTAGATCAGCAATTTTTGAAATACTCAGACCAGCCCGTTTGGCACCAACAACCATGCCATGTTCAAAGTCACTTAAATCCCCTTTCTTAACTTCAGCAAGTCGTCTTCACCACGTCTACATGTGTAAATGCATTGAGTTGCAGCCATGTGCTTGGCTGATTAGCAATTTGTGTTACCAAGCAATTGAACAGGTGTACCTAATAAAGTGGCTGGTGAGTGTATATGTGCTTGTCTGTGGGCCCTATGTACGAACATGTCACTTACATTATACATGTTACACATTGCTGGCCCATTATACCTGGGTAACTATAAACTGAAAACCTGTAGGGGCTTTCAAAGTGGAAAATATAGGGTACTAATGTTCGTCATCAGTTTGCATATTTTGATATGTTGTGTATCTATGTAATCAGTGAAAACCAATCTTTTATACACTGCTCAAAAAATCAAAGGAACACTTTTTTATGAATAACATTTTATTAAATTTTCCACATGTATATACATACATGACATTTTAAAAAGAAATAAAGATAAAGAAAAACAAAGGGATCATCGATGCTAGTAACATGGGTAGAAAAATAACAGTATGCAATGACAATAGGGCAACATTGGAAGGATGATCAAGTCAGGAACACTTTTTTAAATTAGAGTATAGCATCAAGTCAATTAAACTCCTGGGGTATTGATCTGGTCAGTTAAGTAGCAGAGGGGGTTGTTAACCAGTTTCAGTTGCTTTGGTGTTAATGAAATTAACAACAGGTGCACTAGATGGGCAACAATGAGATGACCCCCTAAACGGGAATGGTTTTACAGGTGGTGGCCACTGACATATTTTCCCCTACTCATCTTTTCTGACTGTTTTTCACTAGTTTTGCATTTGGCTAGGGTCAGTTTCACTACTGGTAGCATGAGGCGATACCTGGACCCTACAGAGGTTGCACAGGCAGGCCAACTCTTCCAGGATGGCACATCAATACGTGCCATTGCCAGAAGGTTTGCAGTGTCTCTCCACACAGTCTCAAGAGCATGGAGGATATTCCAGGAGACAGGCAGTTAATCTAGGAGAGCTGGACAGGGCTGTAGAAGGTCCTTAACCCATCAGCAGGACCACTATCTGCTCCTTTGTGCAAGGAGGAACAGGATGAGCACTGCCAGAGCCCTACAAAATGACCTCCAGCAGGCCACTGGTGTGAATGTCTCTGACCAAACAATCAGAAACAGACTTCATGAGGGTGGCCTGAGCACCCGACGTCCTTTAGTAGGCCCTGTGCTCACTGCCCGGCACCATAGAGCTCGATTGGTATTTCCCATTGAACACCTGAATTGGCAGGTCTGCCACAGGCACCCTGTGCTTTTAACAGATGAGAGCAGGCTCATCCTGAGCACATGTGACAGATGTGAAAGGGTCTGGAGAAGCCATGGAGAATGGTATGCTGCATGTAACATCGTTCAGCATGACCGTTTTGGTGGTGGGTCAGTGATGGTCATGGAGGGATGCACAGACCTCTACAAGTTAGACAATGGCACCCTGACTAGGTGTTGGGATGAAATCCTTGGACCCATTGTCAGACCCTAGACTGGTGTAGTGGGTCCTGGGTTCCTCCTGGTGCACCACAATGCCTGGCCTCATGAGGTGAGAGTATGCAGGCCGTTCCTGGAGGCTGAAGGAATTGATACTATTGAATGGTCCCCACACTCGCCTGAGCTAAATCCAATAGAACACCTCTGGAATATCATGTTTCGGTCCATCCGACACCATCAGGTTGTACCTCAAACTGTCCAGGAGCTCAGTGATGCCCTTGTTCCAAATCTGGGAGGAAATACCCCAGGACACCATCCATCGTCCCATTAGGAGCATGCCCCGACATTGTCAGGCATGCATACAAGCACGTGGGGGCCACACAAACTACTGAGTACCATATTGAGTTGCTGCAATGACATTTCAGCAAAATGGACTAGCCTGCTGCATCATTTTTTCACTTTGATTTTTGGGTTCTCTTTCAATTTAGTCCTCTGTAGGTTGATCATTTTCATTTCCATCAAACAATGGGGCATCCTTATGTTCCTAACACATTACCCAGTCCATATCAGTATAGATATCCAGCATGAGATTTTTCCCCATTGAGATCTGATGTGTTTTCAAAGTGTTCCTTTACTTTTTTTTGAGAAGCGCATATATATATATAGATATATCTATATATATCTATATATATATATATTTGAGCAGTGTATTTAACAAAAAATTGGTTAGTATATTGAATGTGGTTGCCCTAAAATTAGCTTTAGTGTATTTTTTACTGACATTTTGTGCTTGATTTATTGTTTGATATAAAGAAAATGGGACTACAGCTATTTTATTCTTCTGGGTATTTGCTTTCAAAAAATATATAATCTTCGGGGGGTTTTAACTAATCTTCAGTCCTAAAGTTATTTTTTAATTGGATGCAAAATTGGATCTGGCAGAAAAAGGGTTATGACAGGTTATGGGAAAAAAAAGTTATAAAGAATTTCACTTCCTTTCCATACAATGAAGGAAGTGTAACAGGTGAAATCAACATCATAAAAGTCAAACGATTCTAAAAATATAACATGTTCATATTTTCATGCGTGAAACACAAGGCAAAGATAATACAGTGAACTTTGTACAGGCCACTGCTGTGGAATGTTCCGGCAGTTTTGGAATCCGCTAATCAACATACATCTACAGTGTCATAAGTTGGAATAGTGATTATGTTCAGAGATTTGGTGCCATAAAATGCAGCTGAACTGCTGTCTATGCTTCAGGAATTTCCTTTCTGCCAAGAACGACAGTGACAGGGCGGGTCACAAACAACGTGCTGTGTCACAGGAAGCGTACACAACCACTAGTAGATTTTGTACGGGCTGCCAAACTGAAAGTACAGTAGTAATGCTGCTATCTACTGGAGGCAGCCTCTTCATGTGTACTCTGGCCCTGGCAGATGGAAGAGCAAGATTGCCGAAACTTAGAACACTGTGATCCTGGGGAAGAGTATACATAGAGACATAGTGTGCGCTGTGCAATAATACATTGAGTTTAAAACTGCCTAAGAAATGCAAACGAAAGAAAAGATCAACTAATGCTGGCCATACACTATTCAAAAAAGTATTGAAACTCGTTTTGGAATTATGAATAATGAGTCATGAGCAGGGGCGGACTGACAAATCATGGGGTCCCCGGGCAATAGGGGATCATGGGGCCCCTGTGTCCTTGCCCAAACTCAAAAAAGCCTATGAAAAAGGTACCAGGGGCATCTCATGGGGCCCCCTACTGACCCCGGGCCCTCGGGCAGTGGCCGAGTTTCCAAATGGTCAGTCCGCCCCTGGTCATGAGAGCAAACATAGTTACATAGTCTGGTTGAAAAAAGACACAAGTCCTTCTAGTTCAACCAATTGTAACACTACCTCCTTTGGAGTCGCTAAAGATTCGTTCAGACCTTGCACTCCAGAGCAGGGGCGGACTGACAACTCATGGGGCCCCCGGGCAATAGGGGATCATGGGGCCCCTGTGTCCTTGCCCAAACTCAAAAAAGCCTATGAAAAAGGTACCAGGGGCATCTCATGGGGCCCCCTACTGACCCTGGGCCCTCGGGCAGTGCCTGAGTTTCCAAATGGTCAGTCCGCCCCTGCTCCAGAGACAGTAAACAGTCCTTGAACTTATTTTATTAACCTCCCTGGCGGTATTCCCGAGTCTAGCTCGGGGTAAAGTTTCAGTACTAAAAGCGGTAACCCCGAGCTACACTCGGGAATACCCTGCAGCGTTGCTCAGGGATTCCCTGCAGCACTTACCTTGTCCTGCGCTCAGGGGCGGACTGACCATTTGGAAATTAGGGCACTGCCCGAGGGCCCGGGGGCAGTAGGGCGCCCCATGAGATGCCCCTGGTACCTTTTTCATAGTCTTTTTTGAGTTTGGGCAAGGACACAGGGGCCCCATGATCCCCTATTGCCCGAGGGCCCCATTAGTTGTCAGTCCGCCCCTGTCTGCGCTCCACCCATGTGTCCCCTGCAGTGTCCCCGGCCATCTCCTCCGGCCAATGATGGCATCTGTCTTCCGGGTTCCGGTCCCTGCGAGCGTCGGGACGTACGGGGGCTGGAACCGGCGGGAAATTTGAAAATGTTGAAAACTGACATTCACTAATACACTAAAATCTGATAGTATAACATTACTGGTTCAAAGCATTTCACATACATTTTGTCCCGAGTGCTTTGTCCTGTGCCCTCCCTGCATTTTTACTGTTCTTTCTGCCTGGAAACTGAGAAATGTCCATGGCGTCCAAAAAGCGTCCCTTTAGGTCAAAAGCGGTTTTAGACCAGCTAGAGAACAGCGATAGTAAATTAGAATCACTTGCAGAATTGAGTGATAATGATTTGTGGGGAAATTCGTCATCAGACACTGAAAACGATTCTGCGACTGAGCTCAGCGATGTGCGAACTTGGCGCTTTATTTCAAATTTCAGTGTTTTTGGTTTGATTATATTATTGAATTAAATGTATTATTATTTATTATTATTTTTTTTTTGATTATTATTTATTATATTATAATTTATGATTTCATGTTTCAAGTTTTATCATATCCGGAATGTTTACTAGACTCTTGTTCGGACAGATTTCAGTGAGTTTTTCCTAAAAATTATAGGCCTACAATAAAAAACCGACATATTTCCATGCAAAAAAATGTACCGCTTTCAGCACAGAAATATGGACATAATCAGACCGCTAGGGAGGTTAAGGGGTAAATAACTTGGATGGGGATGAGAGGTAAATGGGATGCCCAAGGAACTGTAAGTCTGAGGACATATTCCTGAAACTATGGACGAGTAGTCAGAAAGGGTTTTCTCTTCTGTGCTTGGAGAACTAGCCAGCCTCTCCTTGTGTTCCTCCTCAGACCCCGGATGAAAGCTCCTTGTCGCCCAGCTGCCTAAGGAAATCCCTGGCAAAGAGATCCCAGAAGCTGCCATCATAAATTAAAGCAGTCCCAGATGGGGACTAGTAAGGGTTCCTACCCAAATCCCTTTTCCCCTCAGGAGGTGTGGGGTTACCCACTCAGTCTCTCCTGAAAACTTGTGGGTTGGTGGCTGCCTTAGGCTGGGCTGGCTCCTTCCCTGCTCCCCAGGCTGTCCTCTCTCAGGGGAAGAAGAAGCTGAGAGATCCTCCCCTCCAGCTCCTCTACAGGTAGGTAGGCCCCTCTCCTGCACCCCCTCCCAGGCTCCACATTCCATCCTGCCCAGTCCACCCTCCACTCGAATTCACCTGAGCAGGCTCGGTCACTCTTAAGGGCTGTCCAGACCCCATGCCAAGCCTCCTGCTTGGGGATTGGCCAGGATCCCTTGAAAGTGCAGCCCAGCCACTCCTCACCGCGTGGAAGTTCTGGAGAGCTGGTAAGCAAGCCTTTCAGCCCTGAACAAAATTTGACCCCTCTGACTATTCCTCCAGGCTGCTACTCAGCCTCCAACTAAACAAAAATAATCATCTAGCTCCCCCTAGCTATCTAGGAGGGTGCTACACAATAAAAAAAAAAAAAGGGGGAACAAATATGCAATCCTATATACACAATCCTATACCCACATTTGATTTAAAAGAAGACAAAAAAACCCAATAAAGCTGGATCCAATTTGCTCCAGCAAGGGAAAAAATTCCTTCCTGATCCCCCAAGAGGCAATCGGATATTCCCTGGATCAACTTTACCTATAAATGTCCAGTTATATTGTGTACATTTAGGAAATGTAGCACTACCCCCTTAAGGTTTTCTTAGTAATTTTTGGGTTCCTTGTCAGTCTGGACCTCCTTCTGAAAGCCCAACCACTGCTGACACTATTGTGACCCGAAAAAGTCACTGCTGTAAAAGGGACTCACACACAAGTTACTGTAAATCAATATGAAGTTTATAAAGAGTTTGAACGTAGCCTGATCAAAGAAAACACAAAATAGCATTAGCATATGCAACAATATAATCACTCTTGTCAACTTTAAGTAAAAGTAACAGCATCCACAGTAAAATACCTTTCCGAATTTGGAGTTGTAATCTCTTTTCCTCCAGATGTAAAGAGTGCCCCCTTGTCCTCTGTGATGACCTGAAAGTGAATAACTGCTCCAAAAAATCATTTTAGGCCTCAAAATGACACAAAACCAACAAAATGTTATATATTTTCTGAAAGCAAACACCCTAGAGAATAAAATAGTGGTAGTTGCAATTTTTTATGCCAAACAATATTATCGCAAAGGTCTAGGAAATGAAAATTTCAGTAAAAAACACACTAAAGTGAATTGTAGGTCAAAGAACTCTAAAATTACCCACATTTTTGGTAAAATATAAAAGACGACGTTACGTCGAGTAAATAGATACCCAACATGCTAAACCTTAAATTTGTGTACGCCTATGAAATGACGACAAACTTCAGCACCCTATATTTTCTCTAGGCAACCCAATAGGCCATCAGTTTAGAATTACAGAGGAGGTCCTGTGTTAGAATTATTGCTCTCACTCTGGCGTGCGCAGCAATATGTAACCTGTATATCTCGATCGACATTTTCATGCGTAGGCGCCCTGACATGTGCATTTACATTTGTACATGCGTATATGTGGGGGTGGGGGTCTAAAAATATTTTTTGTGGAGGGAGAAGGGGGGAGTTATCTGCTTGAGTGTAACTTTATTTTTGTTGCAATAAAAAAATGTTTTTTTTACTTAACTTTTTTTTTTTTCACATAGGTGACAGGCTCTCTTTAATGAGAGACGTAGGGTTCAAAAGACCATGCATGTCTTTTACATGCCATGTCATGGCTGTGCAAGCTGAGAAAGTGACAGCAGTGACCCAGAAGTGACATCACACATGTTGCCTTATGGGTCACAGAAAGAAGGGGAGGAGAGTGGACATTTGCCCGCTCTCCTCTCTCCCCTCCACTTGCCACTACCCCCCCATGGTGCTCCCCGGGAACCACAGATAGGCAATCCGGGCCCGGATACATGGCGGCATGGTGGGAACGCGGACACGGGGGGGCACCAGTATCGGGGGCTGTGGAAGTAATTGGGCAGCAGCGCAGCCATCCGACTCCTTCCACTTGACAGGCAGGAGTCTGACGTACAGACCTGGTGGCGAAAGGGTTCATCTCCTCTTCTCGAGAGAGTAACAATATAGCCATCATGTAATGAATAAATCTCGAATGATAAATCATTCTATGGACATAAATGAATATGGTTTTTATTTGTTTTGTTACATATGCGCAGTATGAACAGTTAGATTTTTAAGGGGTGAGAAACACATTAAACTTTTAGTTTATCATTTGGTTGGTGAAGTTTTTTTACCTGTTCCTTCGATTTTTTGACTCCGGAAAATCAAAAACGATTTTATATTTGTGCCCATTAACTGGACACAAAACTAATGAACTGTCCAAATGACAATTTTTTTATGTAGTGTATGGTCACCATAAACATGGTTTGTATGTAATGTAGTCGTAAACACAAATGCAGTTATGGATAGATGGATCAACCAGCCTGCCTGTAGGTGGATCAAGTCTCGACCGGTCTCTGTTGAACCAGCCAAGATTTGACCCATTTATGGCTGGCTTTACAGTTTGTTTTCTGAAGAATATATTTAAAAAAGTATATATTTAAAAAAATATTTTTCATATACTTTGTAATGTATAAAAAATGCATTTCAACATTCAGTATATATATATATATATATATATATATATATATATACATTTCAACTGCATGATGATATGCATTTTTTATATATTACAAAATATATGAAAAATATTTTTAAAATATATATTTTTTAAATATATTCTTCAGATTGTTTTTAACATATAAAAATGCCATATTAACATATATTTTTACATTTATTTCTAAATGCACTCCAAAAATATAGATTTGTATTTTGAAAGGCATACAGTATATTTAATATGTATTTTTAAAAATATTTTTCATATATTTTGTAATAAAAACGCATTTAAACATACAGTGTATATACATATATATATATATATACGGGGCGGACTGACTAATCGAGCACTGCCTGAAGGCCCGGGGTCAGTAGGGGGCCCCATGAAATGCCCCTGGTACCTTTTTTATGGCTTTTTTGAGTGTGGGCAAGGACACAGGGGCCCCATGATCCCCTATTGCTTGGGGGCCCCATGAGTTGTCAGTCCGTCCCTGATGGCGACATATAGTGCGAGTGGACACAGTTGTACCCTATGTCTGAAGGTCAGCTTGGAAGTTGATGGAGGTTCTTAGCCACCATTCCAAAAATCCTTTGCTGCAATCTTTGAGTGTGGGCAAGGACACAGGGGCCCCATGATCCCCTAATGCCCGGGGCCCCATGAGTTGTCAGTCTGCCCCTGTATATATATATATATATAAAATAATAATATATACAGTTGTGTTCAAAATAATAGCAGTGTGTTGAAAAAAGTGAATAAAGCTAAAAATCCTTCTAATAGCTTTTATTTCCATACACACAAATGCATTGGGAACACTACACATTCTATTCCAAATCAAAACATGAAGAAAAATATATCAAATTTGTGTTGTTCCTCTAAAAAAAATTGAAGAAAAGTGACTATTAGACTGTTCAAAAACATAGCAGTGTTTGTATTCTTCTTTACAAACTCAAACATTCACTATATAAACTGAAAAATGTTTGAAGATTTTGCTTTCCTTTGAATCACTTAATGAATATTTCGTTGTATAAACACTGTTTCTGAGAACTGCTGTACATCTGTGTTGCATGGAGTCAACCAACTTCTGGCACCTGTGAACAGGTATTCCAGCCCAGGATGATTGGACTACATTCCACAGTTCTTCTCTATTTCTTGGTTTTGCCTCAAACGGCATTTTTGATGTCACCCCACAAGTTTTCTATTGGATTAAGATCCGGGGATTGGGCTGGCCACTCCATAACGTCAATCTTGTTGGTCTGGAACCAAGATGTTGCACGTTTACTGGTGTGTTTGGGGTCGTTGTCTTGTTGGAACACCCATTTCAAGGGCATTTCCTCTTCAGCATAAGGCAGCATGACCTTTTAAGTATTCTGATGTATTCAAACTGATCCATGATCCCTGGTATGCGATAAATAGGCCCAACACCGTAGTATGAGAAACATCCCCATATCATGATGCTTGCGCAACCATGCTTCACTGTCTTCACAGTGTACTGTGGCTTGAATTCAGTGTTTGGGGGTCGTCTGACAAACTGTCTCCGGCCACTAGACCCAAAAAGAACAATCTTACTTTCATCAGTCCACAAAATGTTGCGCCATTTCTCTTTAGGCCAGTCGATGTGCTCTTGGCAAATTGTAACCTCTTCAGCACATGTCTTTTTTTCAACAGTGGGACTTTGCGGGGGCTTCTTGCAGATAGCTTGGCTTCACATAGGCGTCTTCTAATTGTAACAGGACTCACAGGGAACTTTAGACCTTCTTTGATCTTCTTGGAGCTGATTGTTGGCTGAGTCCTTGCCATTTTGGCTATTCTTCTATCCATTCGAATGGTAGTTTTTCGCTTTCTTCCACGTCTTTCAGGTTTTGGCTGCCATTTTAAAGCATTTGCAATCATTTTAGCTGAGCAGCCTATCATTTTCTGCACTTCTTTATATGTTTTCCCCTCTCCAATCAAATTTTTAATCAAGGTACGCTGTTTTTTTTCTGAACAATGTCTGGAACGACCCATTTTCCTCAGAATTTCAGAGAGAAATGCACTGTAACCAGCATGTACAACATTTGCTGCCTTCCTTCCTTAAATAAGGGCAATAATTGCCACCTGTTTTTCAAAGAATGAATGACCTCACTAATAGAATTCCACACTGCTATTATTTTGAACATGCCCCTTTCAATTAATGATTCAATTACACAGAATCAGCAGCATGCATGTCATGACTGTTGGGTCTGTTGGATATCTATTACTCTGCTACACCTGCTAGTAAATTATTTGCCATATAGAAATATCATTTCTACCAAAAACAGTGATTGATCAGGTTAGTGATGTCTGACTGCTATTATTTTGAACACAACTCTACATATATATATTTAGAAATATATTAAATATGGCCAAAATTGTAGTATTTCAAATTTATGTCAATATATTTGGAAAGAATATTTTTAAAATATATTCCAAATATATTTTTCTTCCGTATGGGTCCCCTCCCCCAGTAGGGATTCAAAGCGATAAACCAAAAGGTATGTATGGGACTGGGAGCGAGCTGGTAAGCATCTCCAGTACCTGGATGTGACAATGTCATTTTAAATTAAATTAGAAAAAAAGAAAAAGAAGGCAGCTCACAAATATTCAACCGTGAAAAACAGTTTACCAGTTTTGAATTGTAGACTTTTTTTTTTTTTTTTTTATAAATGTGTTTATCTCTACTGCATCCACATGAGGTTGCTGAATGCTGGTCATTAATTGCCTGTCAGACACATGCTATAGCCCCATCATAAAACATACATCCTGAAATACACAGGCCGTGGAGATGTCTCAGCCTTTGCTTCAGCTGCATGTGCTGTCTAAACCGTGTGAAAGCAACTGATATCTTTTCATGTATCAAAAAAACCGAAACGGTCCTCTCTCCCAGCGGTCTTCGCACATCGAACAGCTGTGACTTTATGAGAAGCAGCCTTAGTAGAATCAAACTGTCAAACGTATCCTTGCAGCGGAGAGATTAGATTAGATTCTTGGACGATGCAATGTTGGCAATCTGCCAGTTCCTTGAAATACACCGAGCGCATGGATAAACGGCTGCCGTGGTCGCGATGGAAAAGTGCACCATGATGTACTTGTTAATGCTGCCTCTAGCTATTATTCATTACAGCTGAAAGGAGCCTTTTCCTCACCATTGCTTGAAAAGCTGCCCTCTAATTTATCTTTGCAGTTCATGAAATAATAACGATGATGATTATTATTATTATACAGGATTTAGGCTGCTTTCACACTGATCCTTTTTTCTTGAACATTTGGGTTTAAAAAAAGTGGAAGAAAACATGTGCCCAGGGGTGGACTGACAACTCTTGGGGAATAGGGATCATGGGGCCCCTGTGTCCTTGCCCAAACTAAAAAAACTCTATGAAAAAGGTACCAGGGGAAATCTCTCATGGGGCCCCCTACTGACCCTGGGCCCTCAGGCAGTGCCTGAGTTTGCAAATGGTCAGTCCGCCCCTGCATGTGACCATGTAGTCCTATGAACTTTTTCACACTGATCCATTTTTTTTTTTTGCTGCATTTTTGGTACAGATTAAAAAAAAAAAAAAAAAAAAAGCACCAAAAGAACACCTCCCCATTGAAATACAAGGAAATCGTAGCAAAAACGCATCACAAACGCACCTGCGTTGCGTTATTGGTGCATTTTTTGAGTCACATTTACCTTGAAAAACCTATCTCATAGTCCATAGGATACAAAGGGTTCTTTTTAGTGCGACAGGATCTTTAAAGTCCATCTCCAGGAAAAACCTTTTTATTTTTTAGATTTGGAGAGAGTACTGTAGAGGAAAATTAGAATTTACTATACACTGGGAAAGTTCCCTTCATTTTAGGCATTACAAGGACCAAATATGGTGGTAAATCTCTCCAAAAGGTGAGAAAGCAAAAAAGACACTACTTTGAAAGTACACAGAAGGTTCAACACTTTTACTATGTGGCCAGAAATCTATAGAAACCTTATCACACCTATATGACTTTGCTGGACATCCCTTTCCAAAAGAAATGGCCCACATAGGGTGCACTTGACCAACCCCCCCCCCATTAAAAATCAATGGAAAACATGGCAAAACACATCATAAACGCATCTGCGTTGCATCATTGGTGCGTTTTTTGAGTCACATTTACCTTGAAAAATGTATCTCTTAGTCCGTGGGATAGAAAGGGTTCTTTTTAGTGCAACAGGACCTTTAAAGTCCATCTCCAGGAAAAACCTTTGTATTTTTTAGATGTGGACAGATTACTGTAGAGGAAAATTAGAATTTACTATTGTTCTACTGGGAAAGTTCCCTTCATTTTAGACATTACAAGGACCAAATATGGTGGTAAAAAAAAAAAAGGTGAGAAAGCAAAAAAATACACTACTGTGTACTATAGAAGGGTCAACACTTTTACTAAATATGGCCAGAAGTCTGCGTTGCATTATTGGTGTGTTTTTTGAGTCACATTTAAAAAAAAAAAAAAACGTATCTCAGACGTGGTATGTGGTAAAAACTGGCAAAAACACATACTGCGGATCAGTGTGTAAGTAGCCTTATTTAGCGCCAACAGTTTGTGCAGTGCTTTACAATATAAAGGTGGACAGTACAAATACAATACAGTTCAATACAGAAGGAATTGGAGGGTCTTGCTCATGGAGCTTACAATCTAAAGGGAAGGGGAGGTGGTACAAAAAGGTAATAGCTGCAGGGGATGATCTGATGGAGGTGACTCAAGTATGGCTTTTTAGGTGGAGGCGGGGTAAGCTTCCCTGAACAAATGAGTTTTCAAGGCTTGCTTAAAGGAGGACAGGGTGGGAGCTGACTGGACATACTGGGGTAGGAAGTTCCAAAGGATGGGAAAAGTTATGGAAAAGTCCTGGAGTGACAAGGGAGCTAGAGACCAAGACATCTTGTGAGGAGTGGAGAGGATGATTTGGGCGACATCTGCAGATGAGGCTGGTGTTTAAACTGGGGGCAGTGTTGTGAAGGGCTTTATACGTTGTGATTAGTATTTTGAATTGTATACGTTGGGCTAGTGGAAGCCAGTAAAAAGATTGCCGGGGGTGGGGGTTGGGGTGTGGATTATCCTATGTAAAGATAGGCCAGTGAGGATGGAGTTGCAGTAGTCAAGGTTGGAAATAACCAAGGAGGGAATTACATTGTTTTGTGGTGTCGTTAGTCAGGAAGGGGCAAAGTCTGGAAATGTGGAGGTGGCAAGATTTAGCCAATGATTGGATGTGGGGGTCCAAAGGAGAGGTCAGAGTCTAGGATTACACCTAGCACCCTGGTATCTGCGGAGGAACCAGTGGTTATGCTGTTGATCTCAAAAGTAAAGTCTGTGGGGGGATCAAGGAGGAGGAAATAATAAAAAGCTCAGCTTTAGAAAGACCGAGTTTGAGAAAGTGGTGTGACATCCATATTGATATATGTCACTCAGAAAATTTGTAATACATGAGGAGATCGAGGGCATTAGTTGGGCAGTAAAGAGATAGATCAGGGTGTCTTCAGCATAGAGATGGTGCTGGAAGCCATGGGAGGTTATCAACTGGCTCAGGGAAGAGGTGTAGAGAGAGACCCAAGGAGGGGCCCAAGGACAGAGCCTTGGGGTATCCCAACAGAAAGAGGAAGGGGTGTGGAGGAGATGGTGTTGTATGTG